ATGCACCTTTCTATCTCTCTATCCCTCTATCTATGTTAGTCATATGTTGTCCTACTACGTGATTGGAAGACATCCAACCTGGTATACAACATATGCATCTATATATCCATATTCTCTCTAAAATAATTGAGCAGTCACCTAAAGCAAAGAGCTATTTGGAATTCCTTGATTACTACGCTACGTCGTGAAGTAGGGAATGTGTTCTAGTGCGCTTAAATTTGAATTGGTTCATATCTAAAGGTTTAATGTAGATCTTGATGGGTTTTGAGCATTCTAATAGTCCTAAGGTGTTCATGCAACCCTAAATACCTTGGATCTATGTTTTCTCTATTATACATGAAAACTTTCATTTTTCTCAGGTATTACCCTGACTAGCATACAAAACATTGATATTTGGGTAATAAAACAAGTTAGATAACATACCTTTTGTTGTGACTTGTTGCTTGGAGCTTTAAGAGTCTCGCACCAATAGTGTGAATGCCTTAAGTGGAATCACAAATCACCACCAACACTTGTAATCTTGGAAGAGGACTCTCTAGATCACAAAATTGGCCACAAACTTGCAAAGACTCTAGGTGTCAATTTTTGGAACCAAAGGGCTTCTTATATAGTGTGGTTAGATTAGGGTTACACTATGTAAACTCTAATGTGCATGACTTTCCACATTCCTCATGATCCATGGGTGTTAACCTCCATGGAGTATCGATGGATCACCACATGGGTTAAGCCCAACATTAGGAATCATGAATCATTAGCCCATATTATAAGAATGAATGATTTACACAGTCAATCCCTATATATTGGATTAGTCTCTTTTGATCAAAAAATTAATTCCAAATTAATTCTTGATCAATACTAATTAAATTATATGATTTCGTAATAATATATTATAACTTACAAAATATTAATAAATCATAAATATCATCTTCACCAAAGTCCAAATTGTTCTGGTGAAGTGCAAACGAAATGGACCATGCTAAATCCGGTCAAGTGCATACAAAATATACTTATGGACTTAGACACCTTATCCAACAAACTCCCACTTGCATAAGTCTAATAACTATAATTGCAAGTATGACTTCAGGAACCGACCAGCAATCGTAACTCTTAAAACTTTGTAGAACTAGAACACACCATTTTAGACAAGTGATCATACAATTCTTTGTTCTCAAGATATCAGCCAGACAAATACATGGAACAACATGATACTTATTGTCCAGCAGTTTGTTTCCCGATTTCCGATTTGTTTGACATAGAACTTAATCGAACACATCAGTTGACTTCTGAATGGGCCTGACACATAGGTCAAAACAAAATCATCAATAGGCCCAATATATTGCTTTTAATCCTCTAAGGACTAAAATGAACATATAAACTTTGACTGATATGCTTGTACTAACTATTCCCCAAATCATACACAATAGCACGTTTTATAACATCAAGTTACTGATGTATTTTCGTACTATCAATGTACAACCAACTCATAGTCAACAACTCATATCTCTTGGTTTGAAGACTTACATGATATTATCGTCTCACGATCACTCGATATAAATTCCTTGAAGTGATACAAGTGAGCATGGGTTTAATCCAATACTCAAAACTTATGAGCACTCATGAATGTCATAGCAATGTTTTACCATTTCAAACAATCTACAAGCCAAAATCATGATAGTGTTGATCCAATACCTACTTCCAAAGTATGATCGACTGTGGACAGTTTGAACAATCTTATTATTCTGGAAGTCAATACATGCAAAATTGAAACAATAGTAAATAATTAAAACAAGATAGTAACTTTACTCAAAAATAGAAAAACAAAATTATTTAATCTTTAAATGTCAATTACGTTTGATCTATTACAAGTTCTCAGAAATAGCTATCTAATCATTAAAACTAATATCATCTTTCAGCCTGATACGCGTCGCACGCTGAAAATGTTTAACCCTATTCAGTCCCTTCGTAAGGGGATCTACCAGGTTCTCTTCTGACAATACCCTCTTTGCCACGAGGAGTCCTTCTGATATCTTGTGTCTTATGAAGTGATATTTTCTATGAATGTTCCAGGATCTGCCATGATCCATTGTTTCCTTGGCTATGGCAACCGCACTATTACTATCACAAAAAATCTCCATAGGCTCCTTTTAGCTGGTACAATACTAAGGTCTCCAATGAAGTGCTTCAGCCATATTGCCTCCTTCGCCTATTCGCTCGTTGCAATTTACTATTATTCTCACGTTGAATCAGCCACAGTCTCTTTCTTTGAACTTTTCCAAGTAACTGCTCCTCCATTAAAGGTAAATACCTAGCCCGACCGAGAGCGAAAATTATCTATGTCGGTTTGAAAGCTAGAGTCACTATACCCTATCACTCTCAAGTCATCACTCCCACTGAAGATAAGAACCCAATCCTTAATGCTTCATAGGTACTTGAGAATATTCTTTATCGCAATCCAGTGAGCCCTTAACAGGGTTTTTGTCACACCCCCAAACCAGAACGGTGGAAATATTTGGGGGTGGAGGACGCCATGTCAAGTATCATAACAAATGAATAGTAAAAAAAAGTACGCACAACCATCACATACATAATTGAAAATTTTACATGATCGTAGTATTACATTTTTGCAAAAGAAATCAATTACATTATGTTGTTCAAAAGATTTAACTAACGCCTGGGCGTAAGTCTTCAAAAGCAGTTGCAAATCCTGTTTAATGATTCCCTTAGAATACAAGTTATTTAAAAGAAAAAGGGTCAACATTTAAGTTGGTGAGTTCACAAGAAGTTCATTTGAATGATTGTATGCCATTTGAAAACCCGCGTTCGATTTCAGTAAATCTGGTATTTTCTTAAGAATGATGTTGTAAAACCGTAATTTTATAGAACGGATGTATTCGAACCAGAAAATCCTATATTTTCCTATATGTGAGAAGCAGTCTTAAATAACCAAGACTGTAACCTGTAACAAGTATGCCATGCTTAGAATGAAGAATGTATAGTTGTATGTTTATGTAAAACTGGTTAAGAAGGTGTTTATCCGGATTTATGAACAAGCGAATAATACCCCGTTGTATAGTTATTACCCCATGATGGTTGAGTTAAATATATTACTACGTACAAGAGTCGTTGTTACCGTGGTTTTTGAGTTTCTCATAACCATACTAGACGTAGTACTAATGTCGACATTTGTCACCCCAAATGATAAACTATAGCTAACACCCCAAATGTCTACCGCGTATAAATCTATACACAAAGTCGTGCTCTCCCTCCAGGAGAATCTGGTTAAAGATGGGGACTTTTGATGGTATCTTTTCATCAAGTATTGGTGCATTTCAAAAGGGTAGAAGTCCTCATAGGACTTTGTGAGTTTTGCTATCATAGTTTCCATCATGATACAAGATACCTTAGATGCATCCTTCTCATGGGTAATGTACTAAAAAATCTCCTCTGGAGTAGTAGAAGACTCATCGATAAGCTTAAGCTCCTTGGTCGACACTACTAGAAAAACAGCCTTTTACGACGCTCATTGCGCGTCGTAAAAGGCTCAGACGACGCGCAAATGCGCGTCAAGGAAGGCCCTGTCATAAAGAAAGACGACGCGCATTTACGACGCTCATTTATGACGTGCAATTACGACGCGCATTTACGACACGCAATGCGTATCAAGGAAGGCCCTGTCATAAAGGAAGACGACACGCATTCGCGTGTCATAACCTTACAACGCGCGTGTTAATGACACGCAATGCGTATCAAGAAAGCCCCTATCAAGAAAGGCCATGTCATAAATGAAGATGACACACATTTTTGCGTATCATAATTTTAAATGTTTAAAAAAAATATTATTTATAGATTTAATTATTTTCAAATTAAATTTTTATTTAATGTTTCATAATAGAAAATAAAATATCATATACAAAAAATAGAATCCATTGCATAAATTTAATGTCATATAATTCTATTTCTTACAATATATAAATTTGCATCTAATCTACTATGTACATCAAGTTCCAACTAAGTAAAGTTGCATCTTGCCTTTCATAATTCTTTAAAAGTAATGTTCCAAACAGCTGATTATATGGATATGCAATTGTACATTGGCCCATCTCACTCAATAATGACTTAGCCAAATTCAACTCCAAGTCTTTACTGCATCTTGCTGATAATGCTGCAAGATTTAAATCAAGTGGCTTCATATTCCTTTCTTCCATCAACTTTACCTAATGCACAAAATACACAGAAACAAAAAAAAACATTGTAGAGGAAGGGGTAATTTGGGAAAATGTGAGGGGTATAATATAATAAAAATGCAAATACTTAATACCACTTTCATGCCATCATGGAAACCTGTTGTGAATTACATAAAGGCCCTACACCAACACAAGGCTTTTGTTTGATTATGATCCTCAGCTGTTAAACCAAATACAAAAAGCATGTCAGAAGAATAAAACTAGATGTAGATGAAACTTTAAAAGAGGTTGATCCATCACATTACATAAAGGCCCTCCACTACCTTAAGCAATATTTGTAGAAAAAGTACTTCTTCAGGGCTAAGGTTGCCTACATAAACGGTTGTGTACTGATAACTCTTAATTTGAGAAATTTTTCAAAGACAAGTCCATCATTTTTAGCCATTGACAATTCCTGGACAACTTTTTCAAGTCCTTTGCTAATAGCTTGCATTTCCTCTGCCAAATATTTTAATTGTACCTGAAAAATAATAAATAATCAATAAATTCTTAATTACATTTACACATGTTTTAAATTTCTAAATATTTGAATAAGATTAATTGTGATCACCACCCTTGATGCAGGTTCCAAACTGTCAAGATCCTTGGAGAAATCAAGGAGTTCAGGTAGTTTGTCAACAAGCACCAAAAATTAATTAATTATCCACAACATTATCTTGTTATTTTAAAATTTAATTATTTTCCATACAACATATTAATCAAATCTGAACCAAATAGCAGCGCCTAAAATGACACCAAATTAATCAAAGTCAAAGTCTAAAGTCAAAATCAACTATAACAAAATATTATTATATTTAATAACATAAAATAAACAAATGAAAATATTGACCTCTTGTTGTTCCTTGGTTCAAAGCATTTCCAAGTGTGACAATTGTTTGCATTACTCTCCTGAACTTACAGGAACTTCTGATCTGATAAAAGTTTAATTAGATTAAATTCTTGGATTCGTGAATTGAATCATAACTATGCTACTGTTATAGCAAGAAATGGTTATCTGGGTGCTATAGTTGAAGGATGCTTCTCCAGATGGAAGGTAATTTAGAGGGTCGAAGGAATCTGCTTTTTGATTAAAAGACCAAAATACCCTCGTTATATATATATATATATATATACAATACATTGAACTAAAATTTTCTTTTTTAGTGGTGAGGGCAGGGGGCTTGAACCAAGGTCATCTGGACAAAATGTTGGTGGGCCTCCTAGTTATGAAGATGCTGTGAGTGACGGTCATAGCCCTGTTGATACCAAGAGGTAAATTAATTAATTAATAAGTCAAAAGATTTATTTACTTGTAAATTGTAATATATATATATATATATATATATATATATATATATATATATATATATCTATAAAGTAATGGAATCTAGTCTAACTTGTAAGCATTTTAAGGACTGGTGAACATTAACCATCAAGAAATTCCGGCAGCAACTGCTCCACCACCACCAGCTGCCGCGCCACACCACCTCCAGTTACCACTACGCCGCCACCACCTGCAGTGACAGTCAACAATGAAAACGATGGGTTTGACTTTTTTGATCCCCGTGGTGTTGTTCCTGCTCCTGCCCTTGCGTTTGCCCTGCAAGGATCAGGTGGTGGAGAGATGGAGGATTTGTTTGGTTCTCTATCAGAGTCTTTCTCTTCTTCAAATGCTTTGGCTGTTGTAACATCTACTTCATCTATAACCACTGAAGTTCATCCTCCAGCAAATACTAATCCTTATCTCACCTTCGATACCTCATCGACAAGTCGGGTGCGTGAGTGTCTTAAAAGCTGGATCTACACACACATATTGATAGTTTGTTTATGTTGTAAATTTACACTCTTTATGCATTGATTGCAGGCATTTGATGATCCGTTTGGTGATGGTCCTTTCAAAGCTGTTCCTTCTACTGATGGATTTTCGGCTTAACCACCAACATCACCCTTCACTACAACTGTTGCTTGAACCACCATCATTTTCAGTTGACCCAATGTCAGGGTCAGGGGGATTTGGGGATACTTTTGATTTTGATTCAACTGTTGACATTTTTAGCTGATATATTGCCTCCACCTGGACCCTCGCAAATTGCTTTTCCTTCTCAAAATGGTCAAGCATCTAGTATTTCAGCAGAAGCAGCCTATGCCACAGTTAGCTTTTCCACCTCAAGGTGTCCAGCAGCAGCAACCTATGCCACAGTTAGCTTTTCAACTTCTAGGTGGACACCAATCTATGCCACAATCAGCTTCTCAACTTCCAGGTGTCCAGCAGCAGCAGTAGTTGCCACAGTCAGCTTTTCAACTTCCATGTGGCCACCAGTCAGCTTTTCAAAGTCTAAGTGTTCAGCAGTCTATGCCACAGTTAGCAGCTTTACAATTCCAAGGAGGCCAACAGTGTATGCCATAGTCAGCAGCTTTTCAACTTCCATATATGCATTAGGTCACATTTTGTGCAATGTATACGTCTTGATTCATCAGAAAAGTAATCACTAGTCTCTTGATGAGATGTACTCACAATCTTCTGATGGATGAATCCTTTGATGCCATTCAAGACTACTTTGGGTATCTAACCCTGAATCCAATCTTCTGATGGATGAATCCTAAAAACACATGCAAGGTGTTTAAAGAGATCTCTTACTCTTTACATATAGCCAGCATGAATATTAATGTAGCATATGAATTTTAAATAGCAGTACCTGCTCCACATTATTAAATTACTGGAAATGACATGGAGCATTATGAAGTGGGGCCTCACATATTGCAATTCGAAATGTGTTTATGGGATACAAAGCCTGGATAGAATCGCTTGCAATTTAGTCTGTCATTAGAATATTTTTTCAAAGTTGTAAATCTTGAGAACAGAGCTGACATAAAATCATAAACAAATATATATAGTCATCCTTCCTGCCAAAGAGTTACCTTTAAGTACATTAGACCCAAAGCAATTATAGCCCCAACTGCAGTTACATCTATATTGATCTGGGTTCCATCCATCATCTGCAAGCAAGAAAACAAAAGCAGAAAATTAATGAAAAAATAGAAAGGGTAATCAACTTTCCAAAAAAACAAGTAAAAAGCACAACCTGCCCCGAACCACGATTGTGGTCATCCATTGATCCGTTGGAGAGATGGGATCTTTCCTAAGAAAAGGCAATTTAACAAAAAAAGTCATCTACATGAAATATTAATTCTAGTCATCTTTAAAGTTTAGGGTGTGTGTGTGTGTGTGTGTGGAAAAGATACTTGGACTAGGGTGGATGCGATTAGCCTACCGCCTACTGTTTTGCTCAATGTAACCCCAACAAACATATGATATTAATTCTCCACTGAAATTGAAACAATTAGAAGAAAATATTTACATTAGGAAAAAGAATAATCACTGCATTATAACAATGGAGAACACAACCTTAAGCATGTATTTTGCTCGATGGAGCCTTCATTGTTAAAGGAAGTGATAATCCGCAAGGCAAGATTTTCTAAAATGTGTAGGAACTACTTGTCGACATTCTCAGGATTTCTTTTAGCTTCCTCCTCCTGAAGATAAAAGACCATGTTAATTAGATTCCTTGTCAAATGTTTGAAAGTCCTGTATATAATTCAGCCTTACGTACAGTCAGTTCCTTCTTAATCATTTTTGTTGAATCAAGAAGGCGCTCTTCATCAATAAAAGGAAACTTGCAGATACCCTACAAAAGAGATATTTTTGAAACATAAGAAAATTATATCCCCTAACCTGCCAAATAATCATATCCCCTAACCTGCCAAATAAATCTTTTTCCATCTGTGTCGACATCAAAATCTGAGTATAAACAACAACATATGTATATAATCAATAGTGTTCATAATGATATTAAGCAACAAAATTTATCTATTAGACAGCTTAGAATGGGACATACCATCAACATAGAAATCAAGAATCCTTGAATCATCAGTTGTCATGAGTGACCGATATGAAGGTGGAAGTGCATGGGCACTACAAGAGCACAAATTAGATAAGATCATGAAAAAAAACCAGATCAACCAATGTAACCAAGTTTATAAAAAAGAAATTTAAGAACATACCTAGTTTCACCTAACAAAATTTAGTTTAACTATTTCTTAGTTGTGATAATCTACAGCCTGAAAAGAAGGAATGTTCACAAGAAATCCTTAGTTACCATCTCCAACAAATTAAGAAAAAGAATAAATACAGGCTTGCCCTGTATGCATTCGAGTGCAAGGTGTGATTAGGTACCATATCACTTGGTCTTGTGTACATCAGGTAATGTTATAAGGTATGAATTAGGTAAGATTCTTCTTTTAAGCATTTCTTCGAACACTTGGAGTGCATAGCTCATCTCCTTCCTTTTCTGCAAGTTTCCAGAATCTAGGGTTTAATATTCTATTCTCAAAACATATGTTCAATATTATCAATACAAGCAGAAAGTAAAGAGACCACAAGAACATACAAAAATACCTGCTTACTTTTTTTGAAAGAGCAAAGGATCGAGAATTTTGAGGTAAGGATGATGACGATGCGCTGGCTGTGAGCATATGCGAGCAATAGAAACAGGAAAATGAAGGCTGAGAAATTAAATCTAGCTAGTGTTTGCAAACACATTTGAACCTAAAAATTGATTTCAGGGGCAATCTTGCGAGGATTTCGAGAAGGAGAGACTTAGTGAGGTTTTGAATATCGTATGAGAACGTATGAGCAAGGAGAACAAGCCCTAGAACTGATGATTCCGAAAGAGGGTTTACTTGTGTTGAATCGATTAGTGTGATTACCTGAGATTGAGAGTGTTTTCTCTTTCTTGAATAGGTGATGATCTGATAACGGTGGCTTGGAAATGAGTTCTGATCACCATCATCGTCGATGTGATTGCCGATTTGATTGATTGAATTGTTGGGTTCCATTTAACGGTGGTTTGAGGTTGGAAATGGAAATGGAAAGAGCGCCGCCAAGGAGATTGGGGAGCGAAAGAAGAAAGAATCAGAGATGTTCGAAGTGTGGATTGAGTTTTTCGGGTTCAATTTCAACTCAATTAGTAAAGATTCCAAAATGATTACACCTCCCTGTACCCCACTCAATAATCGAAACCATTGAAATTCTTGAATTTTGTATGAACTTTTCTCATGAATGATGTTCACGTCGTCGGCTCCAAAGCGCCATAATCATGCTGAGATCCAGAATAGTATACGATTGTTGTTTACAAATCTGTTGTTGAACCTTGAATAATCGACCTAGGTATTCCCACCACTGAAGATGAAGATGAAGGACCTAGGGCTTTTTCTTGCTAAGTAGAAGAGGCGGGGGATCAATTTTTGGGATACAATAGGCGCCAGTAATTTTAGTCGATTTCATTTCCCGCCTAAAACGCGTGTTTCACTTAAAAATTATAAAGCGACACACTTACATGACGCACAATTTATGAAAGGCGCCCTCCGCATTTATTTATTTTTCTTTTCTAACACCAATTTTAGGGCGCGCACAAATGCGTGCCCTCTATCCTTCAAATTTTGCAAAACTGACAGTATTTTTTAGGGCACTTACAAATGCGCGACCTCTATCAGCGAGTGTTATTGTTTGAGCATCATTAAAGGGCTTTTTTCTTGTAGTGCGAGGACATATTCCTTGTCCTCATAGCGCGTGACCATCCTGATGTTCCTAATATAATCATTGAAATTAGTTCCATCGAAGATGACTCTCCCATAAAGCTTCATGAAAGAGAAGGAGCCAGTAGGGTTTGAGCCAGAAGCATTGTTGGAAGACATTCGAAATGGAAGTAAGACAAAGTTTATATTAGATATAGAGTCCTTAATATAACACTGAAAATGAAATATTAAGGCTAAGACCCAACACAATATTTTACAATTTTGAAGAGAGATGTTGTAATCCAAGCTGCAAAATATTTGAAGGTAGGTAAATGCCGATTTACCAATTTCCACCATGAAAAACGAAATTTAATTTATTAGGTTATAGCTGAATTGAAATTCCTAGATTCTTTTGAGATTCATTGAACTTTTCAATGGCATGTTTAAATCTCGATTATGCCCTTCAAGTTTGTAACTGGGATACCGAGGATCACAAACAAGGTGTGAATAACGATGCAAATATACTTGGTACTCTTAATGTCATTTATCATGTAATCGATGTATCGGTTAACCACACACGTTCCATCAATCTACGACAAACATTAAGCTACCCTTTGTCACCCTTACTAGTCCATGTTAGTGTGTCGATTAACCACACATGCTCCACTAATGACTTGGTAAGGTGCCAAGTGTAATTTAATGGGTTAGCATTAATTTGACATTTTCCTAATGTAACTAAGATATGGAATTTATAAAACATTGAATTACTTTATAATTATCATTATATTTAATGAGAATTAATGTCTTAATCCTACCCGTTCAGCTAACGACCCTCCACCAGTTAAGGAAGCGGTGAGTGAGAGTGGACACCCATTAAACAACCATTTCAAAGGTAGTAACCTTATACCCCCCTTATAGATCTGCTTCGTGAACAAGGCCTACTAATTGTAAGACTGACTGGTTCTTACACACACACACACACACATATATATATATATATATATATATATATAATTAAACTTATAATATTATAATAGTATAAGGGTTGAATTTTAAACTTTCAAAACTCTAGGGTTTGGAATTAAAGTATTCTAAAGTGACTTTACAAATTCCAGAACTTGAGGGCAAGTTTTAAAACTATTCAAAACCTTTTATTTCTATAACTTATGAGTTTTAATGACTTTTTAAGGAAAAGACTTTTGGAATTCAATAACTTGAGGATAAATTATGGATTCCATCAAAAGACATTTACATCAACAATTAAACTAACAAGCAAGTGTCAAATAATATGATCTACTAAAAACTCATAAGCATGGATAATTCAAATCAATATTTTACGAGAAGCATATAAACTAATAT